CTTCAGTAGTGGTGACTTGTTCTGTTTGAGAAAGTATTTGGGTATCATGGTGATAAATGCTGTATCTCTTGGCTGGGTAGATTTGCAGCCAAGAGAGAATTTAATAAATCTTTAAGAAGGTAAAAAGATGGGACACTTGGCAGATGCCAAATGCAGTCTGGACCCCAGTCACTCATGCACCTCGCTCCATTTCCTCCACGACTGTGTCTGACAAACCAGACGTGGCTGAGGATAAGAAATTTGATTAAGCTGAAATTGAAGAAGGCAGAAACACAAGAAAAAATCCACTGCCTTCAAAAGTAACAATGGAACAGGAGAAGCAAACAAGCGAATCATAATGAAGCATGTACCACCAATGTGCACTGTACATTCCATAAGCACTGTCTTCTTATTTTACTTTTTTTAAGCTATTTAACTTTGTAAGATGCAGAGGCTGGATCAAATTTAAATGACTCTACTGTCCATTTTCACAATAAAGAATCAAGAACTACTGACAGTGAAGGCCAATCCTGGCTCTCCCACCTGCCTATCTGGCTGGCAGCGAAGGAAAAGAATTTGAATGTTGAAGGAAGAAGCTGGGTACTCTATGAGATCCAGAGTAAAAACCAAGCAGGTCCAACGTGTCCTGTTAGGCTATAAAATACCATTTAATCGGAGTTCCATTTTTTGTTGTTGTTCAAGTGATTTTAATTATGAGAATGCACAACATTTAATATGCAAATATCTGGGGAAAAATTTTTAGGATATAACCCTAAAAAATGCTCATTGAGGGCGCCTGGGTGGCTCAGATGGTTAAGCGTCTGCCTTCGGCGCAGGTCATGATCCCAGGGTCCTGGGATCGAGTCCCGCATTGGGCTCCCTGCTCAGCGGGGAGCCTCCTTCTCCCTCTGCCTCTCTCTCTCTCTCTCTCTCTGTCTCTTATGAATAAATAAATATAATCTTTAAAAAAATGCTCATTGATCTATAACTACCTGCAAATCATAGGTAAAACCTTATGATCTTCTAGGTCAAAATTTATACTTAACATACAAGCCAAAACATCAAAATGGCAATTAAAAAAAAAAAGAGTACCACTATTAAAAATGAGCTTTTAAAAATAAAAGTCAGAACTGATGTGCAAATTTTAGTTACATTGAGAGGATATATCTTTATCAATGCTCAAAACATTAAGAAATACTCTTTAGGAACAGATATAAATCCAGCTTACTGAGCTACAAGAAAATGTCTTATTACTTTAGAGGCATTTTTTAAAACTTTAGTTAGCAATGTAGTTGCAAAAGCCTTCTTCAAAAAATAAACTTACTTAGTGAAGATATTTAAAACATTCTTTTCAAGTAAAAAAAAAAAAAAGCATTTCAAAAAATTTAAGTTTATAGCTGCACTGCTGAACTAAAGACATTGCTCCCTACTACCCCACAATTCTGAGACTTAAGAGAACAGATTTTACTCTAGTCTCATTTTAAGAAAATGTGGACTCTCACATTCAACAAAACCTGCTTAAACTTGAGCAGAGGCAAGTTTCAGAAGAAGAAAATCCATGCAAAAAAGCACAAAGCAAAAGTAAAAGGAGCCCTTGGGTTTCCCCCCATGGGATTATTCACTTTCATTTCTCCATTTGACAACACAGGTTATAGGACATCTTCCTTCATGGGATCACTATACAACTTCTTCATGTATTGGGCATGGGTTCGATATGGAGCAGCATGTATTGGGAATAAAGAAACTATAAGGGGATCCTATAAGAAGAAAATTTTTCCTTTGTGAGTTTTCCCCTCTCAAACTTTAAAAGGCTCTGTATTTTATTTAAGAGATTATTCCCAAATAATTTTGCTCTGAAGCAATCAAGAGATACAGATATCCTCCTTCTATTTTTTTAAATTTTATGATGTTATGTTAATCGCCATACATCATTAGTTTTTGATGTAGTGTTCCATGATTCATTGTTTGCATATAACACCCCGTGCTCCATTCAATGTGTGCCCTCTTTAATACCCACCACCAGGCTAACCCATCCCCCCACCCCTTCCCCTCTAAAACCCTCAGTTTGTTTCTCAGAGTCCATAGTCTCTCATGGTTCGTCTCCCCCTCTGACTTCCCCCCCTTCATTTTTCCCTTCCTACTATCTTCTCTCTCTTTTTTTTTATTAACATATAATGTATTATTTGTTTCAGGGGTACAGGTCTGTGATTCATCAGTCTTACACAATTCACAGCGCTCACCATAGCACATACCCTCCCCAATGTCTATCACCCAGCCACCCCATCCCTCCCACCCCCCACCACTCCAGCAACCCTCAGTTTGTTTCCTGAGATTAAGAAATATCCTCCTTCTAACAGAGGGAGTTATTTCTTCTAAGAGGCTAAATTTAGATAAGAGATAGGTAATTTTTGGACCTGAGTAAGATAATAAGAATAATGTCCCTTGCCAAAAAAAGCTTTACCCTTTTAAGATATTTCAAATGAATATTTATAGATTACCTTGGTATATACAATTAATACATATAAGTAAAATTAACAGTGGAGTTAGAAGACAGAAAAAGATAAAAATAAGAACAGAAGATGACAGCAGGAAGGGACAATGGATGAAGGTTACATGGCCTCAGAAATATAAACACAAAAGCGGCTTCTTCATACCTTAAACCACTTAGAGCCCAAATGACTGGTCTCATGCAATATTTCACTCAACAGCTTCAGATAGGCAGTGAGTAGCAGAATGGTGGAAAAAAAGATAAACAGGAAAGAGAGAGAGAAAAAAGCATGCAATTAAAAGCAAATTATATATAGCCACTTTGGAAGACAGTTTTCACAGTTTCTTACAAAGCTAAATATAGTCTTACCATAAAATCCAGCAATTCCCAGGTATTTACCTAAATGAGTTGATAATTTATGTCCATACAAAAACCTACACATAAATGTTCACAGAAGCTTTATCCATAACTGCCAAACATTGGAAGTAATCAAGATGTTCTTCAACTGAAATAAACAAATTGTGGCACATCTATACAATGGAATATTATTCAAAAGTAAAACAAAATTATCAGGCCACAAAAAGACACAGCAGAACCTAAAATGCAAGGCTAAATGGAAAAACTCAGTCAGAAGAGGCTACATACTGTGTGATTCCACCTACATGACATTCTAGAAAAGGAAAAACTATGGAGACAGGAAAAAGATCAAGGATTGGGGAGATGGAGGAAGGATGAATAGGTAGAGTATAGAGGCTCTCTGGGCAGTGAAACTATTCTGTATGATACTGTAATAGTGAATACATGACATGATACATTTGGCAAAACTCACAGAACTGTATGAGATGAAGAGCGAACCAAAATGTAAGCTATGGACCAGTTAATAATGCATCACTACTGGCTCATCAATTCTAATAAATATATCACACCAATGCAAGATGTTAACAATAGGGAAAACTGAGGTGGAGGAAGGAAAATATGGGAATTCCATGGACTTTCTGCTCAACTTTTCTATAAACTAAAAAACAAAACAAAACAAACCCCAAAAAACTGATCTAAAATAAGCCTATTATAAATAATACATAAACACATAAATATATAAAAATCCACCCCCAAAAAAGCAAATTGTAACTAGTTCACACAATAAGACATTTAAAAAAAAACATACTAGCAATTTATATGCCATAATGACGTGATGTTTATTAATTGCCGACATTTCTACATGATCCCCAGTATGTAAGATTTGTCACTAAATAATGACCCCAAGCAGAAAAAAAAATCTTTAAAGAAAGAAAAAATGGGGACATTTTGAAAATAAAGGTAAAAACATAAAAAAGGTAAAATCAAGATAAAAGAAAATCCCTCTTCACCTGCATCAATCGCTGTCACCATCCCTTCTCTGAAGCTCTCTACTACCCAAGCTCTATTTAACTGTGTACCAGGAAATATTCAGATTAGAAGTGGACAAGGCATTTATGTAGGAACAGGGCACTGAAAGACACTGAAAGACTGTGAAGAGTTCCATTTTTCTTCAGTATGGCTAAAAACTGTGTGTCTTTCTTTCTATATTTAGCACTAAAGAAACCACAGCCTCATACTAACACAGTTATGAAGGGACTCCCTATGGCACACACTACATCATGTCCGCTTCCTTGCTAAGCAACTACCTTAACTCACAAGACCACAGTGGTCTCATCATGGAGGTTCCCCAAAGATTCAGGTTACCCTCTCACTGAATTTTTTACCTTTTTAGCAGGTATAGTTCTCCAACAAAGAAATGGAAAGGAAACAATAACTGAAAAAATGAAATGTCATGAATCTCTGTGTGAGGGAGATTCAAAACCTCAAATCACACTCATACTAGGAATTGAGATTAGAGCCTTTGCTTGTTAGAACCATTTTTTCCATTCACATTTCCCAATGTTAGTTATCCTACCTAACAAAAAGTCAAAAGCAAGTGTATGGGGATCTAAAAGACAGAAGAATATATAGAGCAACCACCACACAAGGCAGCAGTAAGAATCCTTTAACAAGTCACTTCAGGGCTGAGGCATGCTGCTCCGGGGCTCTCAGGTGTCACGGTAACAATGTCCTTCATACTTGCTATTAACCTTGTTAATACCTTGTTATAACTTTAACTGCTCTTTTGAACAAGGCAGGGTATAAAATAAATAAACTGTTTTTTCAATTTAACATTTAAACTCAGAAATGTTTGTGTTTTCCCATTCAATTTAAAAGCAGGATTGTGACCAGTCTTGGAACAAACAGACAAGTTCCATTTCATCTCACCAGATCCATGAGCATATACCACAGCCATGTATGTGAAATAAATTCCAAATTACTAATGCAGAGACTCTTAACAGGAGTCATTCTCATTCAACCTTATTTCAATTCTTTTTTAGGTTTAAATACTTACACTTGATGAAGTGCTTTTGAAACCCTATAAACATATGTACAGTTTACCTAAACTATACTGGTTGGGTTTTACCTTTTGTTCAACCAGCAGCATTGCCAGTAACTGTTTAAAATTGCAGACCTGTTTTTCAGCACTGGTCCTGGCTGACTCCTCTTGTGCTAGCACCATTTCTCGCTCTGCAGTTATCTGTACACTTTCTCTTAGTGCTTCTTCCAGCTCTTCAATCCTGTCATCCTTCTTACGGAGACTGTCCTGGAAAACGATGGAAGACTAGGTGAAGTAGACTAATTAGTTAACGCAAGGAGAGACTATTTATCAAGAAAGGACTATTTGCTTATGAAATATTCTTCCTTTCAGAAGTAAATCCAAGCCAGAAAGATATCTTCACAGAGGAAAGAACAAGGAAAGAAAAGAAGTATAAGAGGAGTTTGGAGAAGTAGATTATTAAGAGCAAAAGGTCAAGTTAGTTAAGCAAGACAAATTAGTGATGGATTTGTTCTCTGTAACAGAGAGAAAAAACCGTATTAAGCAGCATAGGCAGCAAGGGCTTTGATTACTTAAAAACACAAAGCTGTTTTTTGAATTACTTTCTAAACTGGGCTTTAAGCCAGGTTTGATGAAGCCTAAGTAATAAGACTCAGTACCAAAACAGTCTCTCCCTGCAAAGTTCAGCCCTGATGAAAAGTTAGATAAATAGCATGATATTTCAGATCATATTCTTTATATAGACAATTGTTAGCAAACTAATTTAGAAAAAAAAAAAGTAAATGAAAAAGAAAGTGGTTTCCTAATGATTTTAAGACATCAGTTTTCTCTTAAACTCATATGAGAAAACTAAAATTGGTAACTGGATTTAAGTGATCGGGCTAAGGATGAGTAAATTAGTTAGCCAACCAATTCCTACTAACCTTGATATTCTAAATAAGCTTAAGAATTCACTCCTGGGAAGGTAAATATGGATTTCTATCAGAAAGACAAAATCCAACAGAACTTTAAGAACATTTAAGAAAGGAAAGATCTTAAAATAAGAAGAATAAATGAAGCAGAGTTCAAGCAGTATTTTTTTTTTAAGATATTTTTTATTTATTTATTTGACAGAGAGAGAGCACAAGCAGACAGAGCGGCAGGCAGAGGGAGAGGGAGAAGCAGGCTCTCTGCCGACCAGGGAGCCCGATGCGGGGCTCAATCCCAGGACCCTGGGATCATGACCCGAGCCGAAGGCAGCCGCTTAACCGACTGAGTCACCCAGGCGCCCCGAGTTCAAGCAGTATTAAGAATTAGATTCATCAGGTTATTATTAAGCATTTCCTCTTTGAATTCTTCTAGAACCAAAAGATTAAAAAGAAAGCGCTGCCTTTTATTAATACAATTAAATTAAAAACAAAAGAACAAGAGTTACTGAAACATTCTCCAACTTTCAGAATACTTGTACCAGTAAAAGATATCAAAGGATTTTATCATTCATCTATGCAACTCTCATTTAATTAGACTGTAGTTCACTTTTATAAGTGCAAGGCACAGAAAGTCCTTTCTAACAACTTTGTCTTCAGAAATCCAGAACTCGAAATCTGTCAAAAAGGTAAGTCAGATTCTTCTCCCAGCACTGAAAGAGTATCTTACTATTTAACATCTTTCATAATAAAAAGTTGACAAATTTTTGGGCGCCTGGGTGGCTCAGTCGGTTAAGCGACTGCCTTCGGCTCAGGTCATGATCCTGGAGTCCCGGGATCGAGTCCCGCATCAGGCTCCCTGCTCAGTGGGGAGTCTGCTTCTCCCTCCAACCCTCCCCCCTCTCATGTGCTCTCTCTCTCTCTCATTCTCGCTTTCTCAAATAAATAAAAATCTTTAAAAAAAAAGTTGACAAATTTTTTATTCTCTCATTTTTCTCAACTAAAAAAATGAGATTAAAAAAAAGAATATTCACATTTCAGTAATGTATGTCACGTTCATTTTTTTTAAGTGTTCATTCTTCAGGAGAAAATGTTATAAGATACCCTGATTTAGCCCCATAAGTAAGGTTCTGTCTTCTACAGGGAAGTTTAGCTATATCAAAAAATGTTCTTTCTTGAAATCTTAATGCTTCCAGGTGGCCGCCCATGAGCAGCAGAGTGCAGCTTCCAAAACTGCTGAAGTTACTGTTGAAGGTTTCTAAAACAATGCCAAGCAGAGAGGGACAGGAAATGATGCCAAGAGAAACAAAGGCCAAGGTAGGGTGCCTGGGTGGCTCAATTGGTTAAGCAACTACCCTCGGCTCAGGTCATGATCCCAGCGTCCTGGGATCGAGTCCTGCATCGGGCTCCCCCTGCTCAGCGGGGAGTCTGCATCTCCCTCTGTCTCTGCCTGCCACTCCCCCTGCTTGTGCGTTCTCTCTCTCTGTCAAATAAATAAATAAAATTTTAAAAAAAGGCTAAGGTAGTTTCTTTTGATTCAAAGAATATGAAATCCAACAGAAGGATTATGTGGAAAGAGACAGATGCAATTGTCAGTGAGTTCAGTCCTCTCAAAACCTCCAATGAATAACTTTATTTGTAGTAACAAGGGATTCTGAATTACAGATCGCTGTAAACAAAAAGAAACATGAATATTTCCCATTATCAACTGGTTCTAAATAACTCGTTATTATGTTTTTGTCCAATCTGTGATATTCTTTACTCTTAACCTGTCTTCGGGAGATCTCCTGAGAGGCTTCTGTTATTCTAACCTAAACTGAGGCTGAAAAACTTATCCCAGATAAGTTCCCAGAACCTATTTCAAACAAACAGGATTATCTGCTTTTCTGCATGGGCTGAAAAATAGCTTTGTGGCTTTATCAGTAAAACTTTATTTTAGAGAGAGGATACTTAGTAATTTGTCATAATGCAGATAATCAGGGCAGGTTTTCATATTGAAAGTTTCATCAAAACCAGTACTAAAATCAGAGTCTACCAGATGAGCTCTGTGTACAAGGCCATTTTTTAAGAAAAGTTTTCTGGACTTAATGGTAAAGGCTGGCTCAAAACGTATGTCCATAATAAGGACAAAGAACAAAAGTCAAGAAATACCACAAATAAAAAGCAGAAAACTGTTAAATAATATTTATGAAATACTATAAATTATGTAACTTATAATTACAATACAATTTAAAATCAATGTAAAATGGGGGGCGCCTGGGTGGCTCAGTCGGTTAAGTGGCTGCCTTCGGCTCAGGTCATGATCCCAGGGTCCTGGGATAGAGCCCCACATCGGGCTCCCTGCTCAGCGGGGAGTCTGCTTCTCCCTCTCCCACTCCCCCTGCTTGTGTTCCCTTTCTCACTGTGTCTCTCTCTGTCAAATAAATAAATAAATCTTAAAAAAAAAAATCAATGTAAAATGGTGGCAACAAAAGAATGAAGACAGCGAATATTCTCATCACCTTCAACACCAAAACCAACAAAGTCCATAACTACTTAAACCATCTACTGAGTAAAATGTGGCTCCAATCTTATTTTCGGAATCTTAATAGATATTTGCTAAGGTAAACCAAGGAAGTTTCCTTTGTACTGAATTACACATCTTGAATCTGTTTCATTTAATAAAATATTGAGCCAATGCCAGAAATGAATAGAATCTTTTAGTTCTACAAATACTGGAGTCCTAAGCACACTGCTAGATCATATTTATAATTATCCTTCCTTGTTCTTACACTTTCAGTGAAAATTAAATAAATTTTCTATACTTAGACTATAATATGGGTATTCTACCTTTCTTTTAAGTTTAGAATACTAAAGAAAATATTTTTAAGTTTTAGAAAGGCCAAAAATGATTGCCCACAAAGCATAAAAATTTGGAAGGCACTGGAATTTTTTATGTAAACACAGAGAATCAGAAGACAACTTCAAAACTCTGAAGGAAAGATGCTTTCTGATCTAGAATTTTATATACAAACTATCAATCAAATGTAAAGGAAGAATGCAAAGTCTTAAAAAATCTACCTCACATCACAGACTCTCTCAGAAAGCTACTAGAGATGTGCTCCATCAAACTTAGGAAGTCAACCTAGAAAGAGGAAGACATGGGACCCAGAAAAAAGAGGATCTACCACAAATGAGTAGTGAAAGGAACCACAAGGGTAACCGTAAGCCTCGAGAAGAAAGAGAATTCAGAGGAGAGGACAGAAACTCAAGGAAAGATGTTTCCAAGAAAAAAGGTGGATGAATAGATTACGAGGTTAATAAATAAGGGATGATGTATAATAGTACCAACATCAAGAGGAATGTTATAGTAGGAGAAAGGAATTTGGGAATAAACTGGTGATATGTATACAAATAAATAATAAAACAAATAAAAAAAACCCAAAGCTATTATCACCACCAGAAAAAACCACAAGTACAGTAAAGGAAATGTAATCATAATATACTATGTGCCTGAGACATAATAATGTAAAACTTATATTGGAAAGGCAGAAATAACAAAGTGTGTGTGGTGATTTGCTTATTAGAAAGGCTAATTCCTAATCATTCATAAGAAGTCAGTAGAAACTAATGTCCAAATAAGAAAAATAAGAAAACAACAGTATAAGAATGTCATTGGGAGAGGTGGAAGAAAACAGCAGAAGAAACAAGCAAAAAAGTTGAAAGCATGCTTGTTGTCTCAGGGGAGCAGGAATCCAGGCTAGACAAAAATGAGGTAGAGGACTATCACTATTATAAGCCATGTAGTATTATGTCACTTTGTAAATGATATAAATAAGCATTGTTCAAACAAAAATTGAAAATCAAATTTAAAAATGTTGCCAAGAAAAGCACATACTGCAAATAAATTAATAACAACACATGAATTTCTGGAAATCGTTATAAATGTGGTAACTATTTCAGGTATGGATACTCTAAACATATGGGTTAACTATTTACTGGAAAGAGAACAGACTGGGCAAATATATCTCAAGACAGTGACAATGGTGAAAAAAACATGAATTTCAAGTCACTCTCTTCCTCGGTTTTTTATTCAAAAGTTGAATTTCTTCACGCAAATAATTTGCATAGCAGGTCAAAATTATGAGAAATTCTTTTCCAGTCTTTAGGTAACCATGGACTATTCTAATGAGAACATTTTTTTAAAGAGATAAACTATTGCAATAAGTTCTGCTATTATTCTGAAAATACCTAAAGCTTAAATATCCCAATAGCATACGTATAAGACACAGCACCAAGCCAAGAGCTTTGAAAATTGTCCCCTATCTCCCTTTCTGTGCAAATAGTTTCCTTTTTTTTTGTTTTTTAAATACCTATCAAAAT